CCGGTAATTTTTTTGTTTTATTTTTTGTACTCCTTGAAAAGGAAAACCTACTACTTCAAATTACATATCATCGACAATGCGGCGCTGTGCAACCAAACTATAAATACCATTACATATTTAACAACAATCAATGACCCCAACAATCAACTCAAAAATAACCAGCTTCAACCCATAAACTCCAGACTCACCCTTTGAGTCAAGACTCACCCGCTCGAGCGACGAGCGGCGAGCGGCAAGCGCGGCGAGCGGCGAGCGGCGAGCGCTTCAACCCATAAACTCCAGACTCACCCTTTGAGTCAAGACTCACCTGCTCGAGCTACGAGCGGCGAGCGAGGCGAGCGCGGCGAGCGGCGCGAGGCCAGAGGCGAGCGCCGAACAGGGTGAGTGTGAAGTTTTTTCCTTCGAGTTTGGCAAAATGGAGAGTCTGAACTCTGAAGACTAAAGAGACTTTACAAGGAAGACTAAAAGAGATCATTAGAAGATGTTGTCAGTACCACTACCAGAGGAGGACCGAGGGTTTTGGACGCGTGAGAGGCGTGAAAAAAAGACTAAAGAGAGACTCTGAGGCTGTACAGGAAAGACTAAAGAGAGAAGTTGTCGAGGATGACGCCGTGAGTAACAGTGTAACACCGTTTTGGACACGTGAGAGGCTGAGAGCTGTTTCCCACCTTTTCTTTTTTGGTCAGTTTTTCACAGCATTTCACAATTTCAATTGGGTTCTCTACATAAAAAAATTATAAATAATATATTAAATATATAATATATATTTCAGATATATTATATATAATATATATAGTCCGGGTTGGTCCGGGTTGGACCGACCCTAAACTATCTGGACCGAGGACCAACCCGCACAGTGCTGGTCCAGGGATCCCAGGACCAAGGACCGACCCAGTCCCCCTGGGAACCGGACCAGGACCGGCAGGGTTGGGCCGGTCCAGGGTCGGTCCAGGGTCAACCCTGGACCGATGCTCACCCCTAATGCTAACCATTAGATCTGGTGAAATTTATGCGTGATCCACGTGGGATTCATCAGAAAATGTAGATGGAAAAAGAAAATAATAGAAAAGAAAATGCGATTCTTATATACAATAAGAAAAAGTAAAAGAACATTTGTAAGAGGAATCCAATGTAATTTTCGACCAAGAATTAACTATACGATGTACTACCTACGGCACAATATTCTATACATCGTCGTTAAATTATTGCGTGGGATTCAGAATCTAACTCCACTTGTAGGGAAAACGACACAAATGATCCATAACCTTTGATTCAATATGTAATGTTATCTCTTAAATTTTAATTTGTTCAATGTGATCCATAAACCTTAATCCAATATTTAGTATTGTCCATGAAGTTTTAAACATTGTAATATAGTTTATGGACTAAACCGAACAAATTAAAAGTTTATGAACAACGTTGCATATTAAGTCAAAATTCAGGACCCACGCCTGTTTGCATGCTTCTGTACTTCTTTATTGTGTGTACGTTGACATCTCCGTGTGATTTTATTCTCTCTAAGTGCGCATCGTTTATTTGTAACAAGTGATTTGGTGGATGGAACTTTCGATGAAGGTGCGAAATGAGTTGGACGAAACGTACAAAATGTAAAGCCTATAGTGTCGTACGTGTTGGAGAGGAGAAGATAATTAACTTACAATTACACGAGTAGTGAAGATTTTGGGGGCTAATTGCTTTTCTTACTTTTCCTTATTCGTACGAATGTCAGTTCAATTATAAATTTATCAATTTTGCAGTTTTAAATCTTTACATGAAATTTCAATATAATTATTCCGATCAATTTTTATCGGAAATGGCCGACATGGTGATTCGACTGTCGACGGTTGTCCTACAAGGTACGTTGCCACGTCATTAATTTTAGACGAAAATTGGCCGGAATAACTATATTGAAATTTTACGCAAATGTTTAGAACTAAATGGACAAATTTTCCATTGCTCTTTTCTCCATCGATTTTAAACTTAAAGTCATCAGGAAAATTTCAAAGAAAATCCAGCTACACGGTTTTCTTTGGCCAAGAACCCTTGAATTTTAAAAAATTGCCTTTGCTTATTGAAGTGAATAAATCGAAGAAATCACTTCTATTTTGACTCGCTATTGTCAGTCAAAAGTAACAATTCCCATCTATGCGACGTCACTCGACAAACTTAACATATTAAATTATCTTAATGATATGATATGCCGATGAGATATTGACACGTGCGCAAATATGCATGTACACGACATGGCACATTAACTTTAATTATTTTTCTTCGGCGATCACGAAATAATTTTCATTATATGATGAAAAAAAGGAAAAAAGAAGAAGAAAGAAAGCAGTATTGATATTGATGTGGTGGATCTTAGAGTGGGCTAGGCTTGTATTTAAACTACTTTGCATCTTCGTCCTCTAAGAAGGCCACGTGTCAAGATTGTCTTTCCTTCTGGGAGGGGCTTTGATGCTAAGGTGACGGGCAATGGGCCGTACGTACCGGGCATTTTGCCGTTTCTTCTCTTTTTAAGGAAGAGACTAATAGTTAAGCCCGCCAAACGAGTGAGTTGAGTCATATCGAAAATAGTCCGACCTAAATTAAGCTATTTTCATGTAATATAAATCTAGTGTCCATATCTGCGCTTGCCCCGTCCTAACCTGTATTGCTGAAACACTTTTATATTTGATCAAATTTTGGAAAACCCGTACCCAAACTGAGGTAATATCGGCAAGTTAGCGAGCGCGAGATCGAGTGAGGGCGAGAGAGAGCCATAGAAGTGGGTTGAGACTAAATAAGTTTTGAAACAATTTAACACCCATATTATTTTGGATTTTACCATTCTAAACTCATTTATGACCCATTCGCTGAAAATAACTAATTCATATAACAACTTAGTCCATAAAAATATAGGTCATGAAATAAGTTCATGACCTATCTTGACAGTTCTACTAATCGTAGAGAAAATGGAATTTCCATGGTGACTACAAATCCCTGACGAAGCAGAAGCTAGAAGTCAATAGCCATAAAGGATATCGACCATACCTCATTCCAGAAACAATTAAAATAAAACTTTCGCGAAATCTAATATAAGGTGGCCATGCTTCCTCCATCTTCGATCGTAATATGCTCCTTTCGATCGGTCTTTTAATAGATGAATTACAAATACACCCACATTTATTCTGAGGGAATTTGCATGTAAATGATGTCGGTAATCGTAACGCAACAATATGAGGTCTTGTCAGAGGAAATTTCCTCCAATCATAGATTAAGAAAAAACACAACTAATCCGTTATCATTAGGTCTTTGAAAGCATCACACGATCGATCGTGCTTTCAAATTACCAAGAGCCGTCTAATTGGAAAACAACGATGTAATGCAACGCGGAGAACGAAGGATCCGAGTAGTGGTTCGCAATCATTTTAACGACCTTACTACTAGGAACATCCATCCGAATTGCCGACTCGCTGCTTCATTGGTTTGGTCCAAGACTTGTCCAACTCCTGCGGCGGAGTTTTTGCTTTTTGCATTATGAAGAGAGGGAAGAGAATCGCTACTGCTTCATCAATTCGGCCGGCTCCAATTTTCGTGGCGATTGGGGTGGAAGCGATTGCCTTCCAATTTGAGCTGCTGACCTCACTGCCGTGCCATAAAGTAGAAACTACGAATGACAAATTCGACCAAAATGGTTCCAGTTTTCACGGCCGAGTTGGAGAGCGACACCCTTAACTACTAAAGTAGAGCGCGAGAATCGCATCCGCGTTTACACGGGGAGGAAATGGATGGGTACGGACATGTCCCTTTTGCTTTCCCTTGTACAGGCGGGCTCTCTTAACCGTGATTATCGTCGCTCTTTAGTCTTTCCTCATTAGTTGTTATCGTATTAGTCTATGGTCCAATAATATGTATACTTATTCACATTTTTTCTCCCCTCAATCTATGATGATATGCTATATTTTATTAGCGAGCATAGTCAAGATGATCGGGGTAAACCTCGCTCGCGATTGACATGGTTGGTTGAGGGTGGCGGAGAAATTTCAGCTTGGAAACTGGAGACAACCCCTGCTGTTAGGATAATTAAATATTAAACCGCGCCTTCATCTAATAGTTTAGAACATTTGACGGTGGTCCCGCTAAATCTTACATGATATCAGAGCAAGAGGTCCCGAATTCAAATATTTTCGGGGAAAAGTATCAAAAAAGTCATAAACCTTTTGTATTTGTGCCAATTTAATCATAAACCTTTTTTTAGTGCTAATTCAATCCTAAACCTTTTGCATTTGTGCCAATTTAGTCATAAATCTTTTTTTGATGTCAATTCAGTCCAAAACCTTTTTACATTTATGCCAATTCAGTCCTAAACCTTTTACATTTGTGCTAATTCAATCATTTCGGCCAATTTTGGCCTGATTTTGTTGACGTGGATGCCGACCGGCCACCGGCCACTCATATGCAACAAGACTATAATAAAGTCTTTTATCTCCATTTCCACTTAGACATGGAGTTCTCTTATTCGAGTTAACCCATTGACAAGGATGGGGTTAAGTTTAAGCTTCTTTGAGGGGATCAAGAATTCGAGGTTAGGAGGAGGGACCCAATAAATGTTTTTAATTAAAATATATCATATATATACATTCATATTTGTTGAAATTTCTTTTTTCCTATAAAGGTAACTTTTTTTTTTGGACCTAGGGAGAGCGAGAGCCACCATCTGTTCCCCTCGGATCCACCATGCCTTGACCAAGGACGTCGATTTCTCACTATGGACTCGATTGTGAAGCTAGCCATTTACCGACGACTTAGATATTCCACTCAGTGGAGGATAAATGAAATTACCATAAACACAGTATAATCACATAATTTGTATTGGGCGAGCCTATAAAACTTAAAAGGTTTATGACTGAATTGACAAAAGTGCATTAAGTTTTGGACAATTTTCGGACAATTTTCCCGGTTTTTAGTTTTTAGTACCGGATAAGCCGAAATGCATTTCTATCCAAAACACCATAAACTGAACTATAAAATGACATTATTGTCATTTAGTATGAACAATTTCTACATTCCCACTAATCCTCTCTTTAAGTATGATACTAATTACTCCTCAATTTCGCCTAAATTGTAAAAACTACTGTTTTATATATAATTCGTGCATAGACAAAATCAGAAAAAAAAAGAAGAAAGAAAGAAAGAGAAAACATTCTCAGCTCAAAGATAAGAGAAACTTCAGAACGAAACGTGCGGTTTGCAAGCCTGTTTGATCTCCCGAGTGGTGATCACGTACGTGATGTTGCAGTTCAGCGTCACCACCACGTGCTTCCTGATGATGCTCAGTATCTTCACCCTCCCGTCGATCCTCGTGTGGCTCTCCATCCTCAGGTTCCCGGCGGTCAGGTCGCCGCCCAGCCTCGGCGACGCCGCGATCCTCGCCGTCACCACCTCCACCGTCACGTTCACGCGCTGCGTCCGCCGCGCCGCCGCCTTCCCCGCCGGGATCATGCCCTCGCCCACGACCACCCCGCCGTAGGATATCCGCGTCGCGGAGCTGCCGTACCGGAAGGACGCGACGTTCGGGTTCTTGACGGAGACGTCGGCGACGGCGGTGATGTTGGCGCCGGCGAGCGACGTCCCGTTCGCGACCAGCTGGGCGAGCTGGGGGATCTGGACCCGGTTCATCCGGACGATCGGGTCCTTGACGTGGAAGACGGTGAAGACGAGGACGAGGGCGACGACGGCGAGGATGAGGAAGAGCGCGGCGGTGATGCCGCAGCACTTGAAGTATCTCGGCCGGTGGAGCCTGAAGTGGGCCGACAAGGCCTCGTCTGCGTCGCTGCGGACAGTGTACGAGGCGGGCGCGTCGCTGCGGACGGTGTACGAGGCGGGCGCGAGTGGCCTGGCTTGCTCTTTCTCGGCCATGGTGACTTGGAGCGGGAGTTGCCGGCCAAGTGTTTGTGGAAATGCCTGGGCGAAGCGTCGCTGGGGCGTAGATGTTGTGCGGTGCTTCCTCTTTCGAGAAGACGATCGCGTGGATATTATGGACGCGTCTGCCTGCACGGGCTTCGCACGGCACGACCGTTGACTAAGTTTGCGCTTATTGTCTAAACGAGAAAATTCAGACCGAGTGATTGTCGTTTGGCTGACCCCAAATGACTCGCATGGAAGCTTCTCTTTGTCTATGATTGCTTGCTTTTTCCCTTTTTTTTTTCTGTATTATATAATGGAATGGACCGGGGATTAAAGTATTTGACAAAATTTTAGGGTTTGTGATTGGAGAATTGTGCATGTCGAACGGCCCATTATATTAATTTCTTCATATTTTAGGTGTTTCTAGAGAAAGAAGGATTGTTCTAATGAAGGTCCAAATATAATGATGGCCCATTATATTTGTTCGCAAACCTAATCAAACACAATCATTTCGTTAAAAAGTGCAAAGCCCCTATTTCTTCCGGAAAAAAAAGAGAAAGAAATACCCAATCACGGGTTTTTCCATAGAAAAGACGCCAAACTTTCACTCGTGGGACAATCTTGGCCCTCGGTTTCAATTATTACGTATAAGGCACCAACATTTACCTTGCCGGTGCGGCTTCCATAAACAGCCATAATGATGTCGTCCTCCATATATGGTGAAAATGGCATTGTTTCCGAGTCAAAATATTAGGACTTCAAATCATATTTGGAGAGAGAGAGAGGGGTTCGCGAATTGGGGCTTGTGGTTCTTCACAAAATTTAAACACATTCAACAAATTTCCCATGATTTCCCACCTTCAATTTGCTTTTGGGAAGAACCCTAACCCTCAGCTCTCTCTCTCTACTTTGAAACCCCTTCAATTGGCTTCGAAATGATTTTGTTCAACTTGTTTAGTGTGAACAATGTCATTTCATGCTGCTCCTAATTATCTCGATCTGGTTGGAAATGACAATTTCCTCAAATACGGGAGATGACGTCGTTTTGATTGTTTATGGAAGGCAAGCGAGTGCTATGATGGTGCCCGTTTGCAACCTAGACATCATGTGTGCATTTTTTGTGGAAAATTTTAGCAAAAAGTTAGCATTTTTTTTATGCAACAAATTAAAAGTTTTGGCCAAAATTGTCTTCTTCGCGAAAATTGGTCCCTTTGTATAGGACACATCAAAATTACGGTCAAAATTATCCTCCTAAAAAAAATTGGGGCCTCCTTTCGTGGAAAAATCCACCCAACCACACATAATCAACTGCAACCATATCACACGTCTGTCACCCCATCCCACACATAACTTGGAATTGCTTTTACAGTCGAAGATTCTAATAATGTCATCGAAGCATCTTGTGGAGGTCAAGCCATGATATGACAATTGGCCGGCCTTTTGCTAAGGACCTGACTGTAATGCCCTCATGATTGGGGCGCAATTAAGTGGGGTGTCTGGAGATTTCCAGCTGAGGCATTGAGGTTAACGTGTTCGAGTATTAATTATCGTGCGTAACCTTATATGGATTAGGACCACCTGCATAGACTGTAGGCCAGTACTTCGCCTGTTCACGAGACTTATACGGAGTAATTTTACGGATCTTTTAGATAACAAGGTCTCCAAGCCCGTAATCCTAAATATTAAAGAAACTGTTAAATATGTCTTGAATTTTATGTTCTCGGTCCGGTTCAACACCCGACCCGACATATTTTTGTGCGACCCGAAAATTGAGATTTAGTTCCTCGCCCGTGGACGTAGATCACGTTGTGATCGAACCACGTAAATCCTCGTGTTCTGTGTTTGCTTTTCCGCGTTTGCTACACAAACTGGTATCAGAGCTGCGTCCGATTCTAGGGTTCAAGCAAGATGGCATCTTTAAGTTTCAAATCTTTTGCCGGACATAACAAGAAATCAACTTTTATCCGAAGGTAGAGAATTTTGGCCAAAATGTGTTTATGTGGCATTTGAGTGGCAAACGGACTGTCGCATGGTAAACGATGAGTGTCGTGTTGCCGGTGCGGCTTCCATAAACAGCCATAATGATGTCGTCCTCCATATATGGTGAAAATGGCATTGTTTCCGAGTCAAAATATTAGGACTTCAAATCATATTTGGAGAGAGAGAGAGGGGTTCGCGAATTTGGGGCTTGTGGTTCTTCACAAAATTTAAACACATTCAACAAATTTCCCATGATTTCCCACCTTCAATTTGCTTTTGGGAAGAACCCTCCTAACCCTCAGCTCTCTCTCTACTTTGAAACCCCTTCAATTGGCTTCGAAATGATTTTGTTCAACTTGTTTAGTGTGAACAATGTCATTTCATGCTGCTCCTAATTATCTCGATCTGGTTGGAAATGACAATTTCCTCAAATACGGAAGATGACGTCGTTTTGATTGTTTATGGAAGGCAAGCGAGTGCTATGATGGTGCCCGTTTGCAACCTAGACATCATGTGTGCATTGTTTGTGGAAAATTTTAGCAAAAAGTTAGCATTTTTTTATGCAACAAATTAAAAGTTTTGGCCAAAATTGTCTTCTTCGCGAAAATTGGTCCCTTTGTATAGGACACATCAAAATTACGGTCAAAATTATCCTCCTAAAAAAATTGGGGCCATCTTTCGTGGAAAAATCCACCCAACCACACATAATCAACTGCAACCATAGCACACGTCTGTCACCCCATCCCACACATAACTTGGAATTGCTTTTACAGTCGAAGATTCTAATAATGTCATCGAAGCATCTTGTGGAGGTCAAGCCATGACATGACAATTGGCCGGCCTTTACTAAGGACCTGACTGTAATGCCCTCATGATTGGGGCGCAATTAAGTGGGGTGTTTGGAGATTTCCAGCTGAGGCATTGAGGTTTACGTGTTCGAGTATTAATTATCGTGCGTAACCTTATATGGATTAGGACCACCTGCATAAACTGTAGGCCAGTACTTCACCTGTTCACGAGACTTATACGGAGTAATTTTACGGATCTTTAGATAACAAGGTCTCCAAGCCCGTAATCCTAAATATTAAAGAAACAGACCGTCAAACCCGATATATAATTTTGAAGATATTCTAAAACCAACTTTCACCGACGGGTGGTGATTTTGAGTACAAGAACAATCGTAACAAAATTTAAGCCACACCCATGAAGGCAATTTCAGTTCCCCTAGTCGTCCACTCGCTAGCATGTTTACTTCACTATAAACACTTTCTTCGTGTGGCAGTTGTATCAGAAACACAAAGCCCTAACTTTCTTTGGTTTCGAAACTTAAAAGAATCAAATTGTGCACGGCTAAATGCCAATGAATCCTCCACGAAAATGTCATTGATGTGCCCAGCTTCGCCGTAAAGTAGTATCTAATATAACTATCGCATGACATACTTCCCCTTTTCCACAGCGATAGAGGAGAAGCAATGCGACGACTTTGCCGTAAAGCTGTCTCTAATATAATTGTCGCACGACATACTTTCCGTTTTCTATAGCGATCGAGGAGAAGCAAAGTCTGTCTTTTAATAATGTCTATCGAATAATGAACCTCTAGTTCATCCAGTCATTAATTTAATTCTCAAAGGCACCGAACCATCTTCAATCATATGACTTTCTCCCAACAGTTCAACATCTATTGGTGCGTGGAAGAAGGAGGTGCTTTTGGTTGCGTTGAAGGCAAAGGGCGGACTGATTTGTTCTTACATTGATTAATTGCATCTCCACAAAGCAATTGACTTTGAGCTTGTTAATCAAATTTGGTGACCTTTGCGTACATGAGGAGGATGTTGTTAATGTTGCATTCACTACACGAGTTTTGCTAATTAATATCGTGGAAAAATTCAGGCTAGCATGACACGTCAACAGGCAAGAAGGTAGATACATTGTGAGAACTTGAAGTCTTTGATGAATCATCGAGTTTAAAGTTACATTAAATGCTAATTATAATAGGACAAACCATAGGCCAATTTTCCCCTTTTTTTCTTAGGGAAGAATTGATTTCCTTAATTAGGGATACTAGGATTTATAATTGAAATTTTGGGTCATGCAGGAAGATAAAGATTTGTTGGGTAGCTTTAGTTGAAGGAATTGAAGGGAAAATTAACAAGCTCTAACGAAAGAATCGATAAAGATCTCCGCCCGCTCATCTTTTCCACAGGAAAATCTCGGTTATGACTCAAAAGGTTGAGCAAAATATAGCGTAGCTTATGTCCTTACTATACGATGATTCATGCAACAACAAAATACAGTCGAAGCTAGCTTTGAATACCAAAAATGGTGGACAAACTTAATTTACAAGCTAGCGTGACGAGAATGGGAGTTTAAATAAGGGGCTAGACTGCTATACCCTAGAACATCATGCCCTTAATATTGACGATCCAATTTGATTCTCGTAAATTATAAGGGCGTCATGCCCAAGGCCAAAAAAATATACAAAAGAAAGAAAGAAAACGCCACCATTAGTTACACCGTAAATCCCGGACGATCCGGTCGGGTAGTTGGAGGCTCATGGTGCAGTTCATCTCCGCCGTCCGCCACCTCTTGATCCACCCCAACACCGTCACTCTCCCTCTCATCTTCGCGTAGCTCGTGAGCTTCACCGTCCCGGAACCGACGTCGCCGGTCAGGTTCTTGCTCCCGTCGACGTCCGCCGCCAGCTCGCTCGACCTCACCTCCATCTTCACCGCCGTTCTCTCCCTCTCCCTCGCCCTCGCCCTCCCTCCGTCGATCTTCCCTCCGCCCAGCGCCACCCCTCCGTAGATCACGCTCACCGCCGTGCCGTTCGAGAACTCGAACCCCCCGAAGTTCGCGTTCCTGAGGACGGCCTCACCGACCAGCGTCGCGCTCAAGGAAGCCGGCCAGGAGGTGGTGGAGTAGTTGAGGGCCTTGACGTCGACGCGGCGGAGCCTGAGCTCGGGGGTCTTGACGCGGAGGACCGCGAGGGCGAACCCGAGGAAGGCAGCGCAGAGGACGACGATGAGGGCGAGGGCGTAGACGAAGCACTTGCTGCTCCGCCGCTGGTTGCGGCGAGGGGGGGGCGGCTGCAACTTGGCGAAGGAGGCGAGCTCCACGTCGTCGTCGCTCCGGGGGCGGGGTCCGGCTGGCGCCATCGGGCGGGTCGGGTCTTCTTCGGCCATCTCTTGTCACACTCGCTCGCGGGGGTGTTGATGTGTTTGCTGCGTCGTCTGAGGGTTTCTTGTAGGTGACGATCGTGTTTCAACTTTCTGCAACTCCTGTGTGTATTATATATAAGCAAAGAAGAGAGGGAGGGAGGGAAGGGTGACAATGGCGTTTCAACTTACTGCACCTTTCGGAGGACCGCGTTGAAGCCGAGCTGAGTCGGAATCTGTGCTGTGCTGTGCTGGGGCTGCTCTGTCGCTGTTGCTCTTTGAAACGCCGCCACTTTTGAAATGAAATTTAAAATAAGAAAATGACGGGGAGGCTCGAGAAATTGGTCCCATGCGATTGGTTTATGAAAAAGGTGTCGTCTCCTTTTCTTTTTTTTATATTTTCATGCTTTTCGGTTACGTTGAAAAAGGGCACGCGGAGGCGTAGATGTATTGTATTGTATTGTATTGTATTGTATTGCATTGCATTTTCACCAGCTCGCGTGGTGGCAGGCGGCGTGGCATCCGACGTGGAAGGCTGCCCGGTCAACAGTGGCTGCGCGCCGGAAAAAAGTGTCTCGGCAATGCCCGGTTCACGTGAGCCGAGCTCAGATGCATCCGTCAGATTAGGTGGGCCCGAGACCCACGTGATCAAATGTGAATATAGTCTATACGTATAGGGTCTCGTCGATCTCGTCGATCTCGTCGTAGTTCCTTTTTTTTTTTTTTAATTTCCTTTTTGCTGTTTAATTTATTTCATATTCCGCGAGAAGCTAATGTATTGAATTACTGTGAAATTGCGATGAATCACATTAGATGGTTAAGGGCGCGAATGATAATCATTTTGTTTCATAAATTAATTTTTGGCCAGAAATCAATTTTTCTATTTTTATTCCATGGACGAATTCCTTTGCCAAAATATCCATTTGATAATGACACAAAATTTCTTCCTCCCCAGCGGCCGACAGACAGTGGTGGGAGGTGGCCGGTGTCGGGTGGCGACGGACGACAATGGGCGGCGGTGGAGGACGGTGGCGGGAGGGCGGCGACTGATGGTGGGAGGTGGCCGGCGTCACGCGACGGCGGAGCACTACAAACGGCGGTGGAGGACGGTGGCAAGAGTGGGTCAGTGTCAGCTGGTGGCGAATGACGATGGAAGGCGGCGGAGGACGGTGGTAAGAGGCGACCGGTGGAGGACGGTGGCGGGAGGCAGTCGACAGGCGGTGGTCGATGATGGGAGGTGGCCGGCGTCGCGCAACGACGGAAGACTACAGACGGCGGCCAACGACGGAGGATTGTGGTGGGAGTTGGCCAGCGGGTAGCAGCCGACGGCGGGAGGCGGCCGGCGATGGTTGATGGCGACCGATGATGGCTGATGGCGGCCGGTGTCAAGCGACGGCGGAGGACGAGAGGAGGTGACTGGCGAAGGACAGCAAAAGGTGGCCGGCGGGCAGTGGTGAACGGCTGTGGACAGCAATGACCAATGGTGGGAGGTAGACGGCGTTGGGCGGTGGCAGAGGAGGACAGATGGCAAGCAACAGTGGATGGCCGCTGGCAAGTGGTGGCAGATGGCGTTGGTAGGCGGCCGACGGCGGAGGATAGCGGCATACAGCAACGGACGACGGTGGTGGGAGGCGGCCGGCGACGGCGGACGGTGGGTGGGCAGGTAGCTAGTAGAGTGGGCGAGCGATGAAAAGAGTTTTTATTTCTCATTTTTATTCAAGAAATAGCAAATTAGATTTTTTTACTTTTGATTTTTGTTCCAAACCTATTTCTGGAATAGAAATTTGTTCTAGAAATAGAAAAATGAAATTGCGTTACCAAACGGATTTTTGTTCCAAATTGTTCAAAGGAACAGAAAAATAGAAAAATAGAGAAACAGAATGGTAATCATTCGAACCCTAAGTGACTGGTTATGCAATAATTAATCCTTTTGGGTTAAGGTTTTGAGCAAAATGTAATTGAAACATTCCTGGTAGCCATTCTAATCATACGGATCCTGAAAATTAGCGGTCTTGATTCATTAAAAAAGAGATGGGCATGCATAATAAAAAAAAAGAAACAATGAAAATACAAAGTAATTCATAATTGAAAAGTCAAAATGCAAAGATATATTAAGAAATGTGCTTTTCGACGCATTTAATATTTATAGAAGAATCGCACGAAATGGTCTCTTCCTCGATGATTCTGTCCGATCAAGGCTGTGATCCCGTCTTTGCTTCTAGCTAGTCTCCTCCGGTTGAAGAGTTCTTTAGAACATATTTCTTGAAACCGATCAATTAAATTAAGCTAATGAAAAATTGCAAAATCACGTAAAACGAATCAAATTGGAAATGTCACTTTCCTTTTGTTGGGGGTATGGATGGATACGTACATATAATTTAATAACCTTCGATGAGAATGAGCGTGTTCTAAACATGCGGCTATTTGTAAATGTTGTTATATTGTGCTATATACATATATGTATGTCCTGCATGTGCTGCAATAAATTGACTAATGTAAGTAAAATGCAACACGTGCTGACATATCATATGTTCTGATTCGCAGCTTAGCTTCGGCGAAAGTCCCCCATGACCCCGACGATTTCTTGCTCGTTCTTTGCACTTCTCACAAACTTAAACCTCTTGAAGAGGCTTAATAAAATCTTGATTTGGAAAGATTATTTTCTCAGATTATGTGATGCTGTCACACAGGAAAGAACAAGGAAACACCTTGAACACATCATAATTTGATTTCTCGGTCGTGTGTGCCGAAAGCGCACGTTGTAAGCTCAATACTTTCATCCGGGTGCTAAGAGAGAGTCTAAGTTCGAGCATGTTAACACATTCGGTTGGACCCAGCCGATGGAATCTCTTTCCTAGCGAAGGGACGTGTGGTGGGGATGTAATATCTATTGAGGCTGCTAGCTGTCCTATGGCTTCGGTGGGGCAGGGATTGTTGCCATAAAGATTGCCAAATCCGCAGCCGTGCTTGCCCTTATTGCCTAGCATACCTCTTCTTTTATCCATTCTCTTGCGCTAAACTGAGGGGCAGGTGGAACAATTTCACTAAAAAACTTAAGCCAATAAGTTATGGGTCAGTTACTACTTCACACTATACTAATTCTTTGATATGCACATTTTTAACACAACACATGTTCATCTCAACAATCTTCTCCCTCGCGTGTGAGCATGAAATGAGGGTGAGGGTGAGAGAGTATTGGCATGCTCTCCCTTAGTTCAAGTATTCTTCTGCATTAGCACGTCTCAACTTGAATCTCCATTTTGTTGCCTTGTGAAAACTGCAACAACAACAACTTCCACCTTCATTCTTGGTCTTTTTCTCCAAACCGAATCATGAAGGCTACCATCGACTACACCACAACGCCTACCTTTGCCCCAAGTTTCTTACGCTAAACTGAACCACGAAGGGTGCCTGGACACCGTGTAGGTAATGAGATTATTTCCTTGAGCACTAATACATATTGAGAGCGGGTGACCCATCAATTCTAATACCATTTGATAGGAGCGCGCAGCAAAATCCCTTCACCTAGGAAGATCGCTAGGACATAGCCAAAGTATGAGACCATCAATACATCTAGTTTATTCAACAACAAAAAAACACATCTAGTTTGACCCATCTTCTCTCAAAAGTGTAATGCAATGAGTTTTGGGTTAACTAAGATATATTAACTACTCTACAGCATACTAATCTTCCGATACGAGAATTTCTAACACAACTCGTACATGTCTCTCTACAGTATGAGTGAAGGAAAAAATACAAATAGGAGAAAATGAAGTTAATCATCTTCCTTTAGGGTCTAAAGTGATGTAAATAATGATTTAGGATTTTTATTATTAATATATAAATTGATGTAACAAATCATAATAGTTCTATTGCTCATGAACCGCTTGTTTAGATACCTTACAATTTGTTACATTATTTGATAAACTAATTTATAAATCAATTTTTTCCCTAACATCACATAAAAAACTTCACTGAGGTAGTAGTTTATACATGGAAAATTTTTGGGTCCTCTCATGGAATATGATACTTGGAAGCCGAAATCATTAAGATTGATCAAAGTTGTCTATCAAAAAATGTTCATTAAGAAGGATGATCATGCTTATAATCTAGGCGGATGCGGATCCTCCGCAACCATCCATAATCCCATTGTCTTCCTTCATCATAATCGTATTTTATTTCACGCAAGACCTAAACATAAACAAATCCCACATACCCTAACCATACACGCAATAACTCGAACTAGTCTCTCTCATTATAACTTCGTGCAAATATATACTTATGACTAAATTGGCAAAATCGAAAAGTTTATAACTAAATTGGCATCCATACAACAGGTTTAAGATCAATTGGGTAATATCTCCATAGATATTTAGAAATCGCGCTTTCTCAATTAATCTAACATTAATGGAAGAATCACATGAAGTGGGATCTTCCCCAAATGCTTTGATCCCGTCATACAATGACCATGAGCGTGTTCTAAACATGCGGCTACTTTAAAATATTGTCATACTGCGATGTACCTGTCATGCATGTGTTACCTATTTTGTATTCTGATTCCCACCTAGGTTCCGCGAAAGTCTCCATGACCCTACAATTCCTTACTTGTGTTTCTCATCACTTACAAACTTGAACCTCCCGATGGCTTAATCAATCTTGATTTGGAAGCTAAGGGTATTTTTATTATCAACTATTATCTTTTGACAAGTGTCACACATCCAATGGTTCGATAGGTGGTGATAATCCACGACATAGCAACGAGCTTCCTGGCCCAATACATGGAATCGAACGTGGACCTACCAAGAAATGGTTAAAGCACTTCTAGAATCTCGGTTGTCATTCTCCACCAGATGGATTGCTATTGCTGAATAACGCCAAGACGCACCACTTTGCGTTTTTCTTTCAACCAGATCACCGTCGTTGTGGACCCATCGCGTTGAATTCGATGCCAGAAACCCTGTTTTTTTCCGAAGGGATTCTTGATTTAAAAGTGTTGGTTCTTTGACCATTTTGCTCCCTTGACTTTGTAGCATGCGTTTGGCCAATTGTTTTTCTCCTGAAGGAAAAGCGCATATTTAATGTTTCACGTCTTGATGATCACCTCGCAAGCACTCGTGGAATAACTTGTCAGTGGAGAGGTACAAGAATGTTGCGATATAACGACTTTGAACTGTTCAGAAATAAACTAGATGAAGGTGTATCGACTGAAGTTGCACAGAAGCCAATCCATATCGAAACCAGTATACCAATACATGGGATTTATTACATGGAGATAGTATGAACATATCATCACTCAAACTTAGAAATCAAGACCCATAAAGAAATGGCTAAAAGAAAGAAAGAAAGTCTAGCTTGTACAAATGATCATTTACAAGTCACCGATTGAACGGTTCGTGATGCGGTGCTGATCGTCATGGTGCAATCCATGCTCGTGGACTTCTTCTTCTTGAAGATGAGCATCAACTGGACCTTACCGTTCAGCTTTGCCGAGCTCGTCAGCGTCAGGACCCCGGAGGTCAGCTCGGTCCCGAGACTCGAACTCGAGGTGTTGGACAAAGAATTGGAGTTCAACCCAACCGTGGCATCGAACTTTTGCGTGGACTTGAAGTTGGCCTTGCCCTTAGGGATCGCAACCTGCCCCACGACGGCATCGCCATAGGTGAAGACGACGGTGGTCGAGTCATACTTGTAAGGGCCGAAGTTGGGGTTCTTGAGCCTGAAGGGCGCGACGAGGGTCATGTTGAAGGACGAGGCAGCCGGCCCGACATTGGAGGTGAGGGCCTGGATGCTGGGCGTCCCGACGCGGAATTTCGGGGTACGGACCTTCATGATGACGAGGACGAAGACGAGAATGACGATAACCTGGAACACGGCGAAGGCGGCGATGTAAGCAGCCAACTTGAGCCTCTTCTGGCGCTTCTCTTGTTCCATGTGATTGCTCAAGGACTCTTGGTCACTTCTAGGGTTTTGGCCGCTTGTGGGTGCAAGAGGATCATCCACTTGTTGGTTCTTCTCCATATTAAGATTTTGAGCTGAAAAAGAAGGAACAATCTAAGGAAGATCTCTCTTTGGCGATGTTTTATGCTTCTCTTTTCTCTGAATGAGCTTCTTGTGAATGTGTAGATGGACCTTTGGCGAGGTTTTTATGTACGTAGCGTTTGAAAAGTAGGGCATGTTTAAAAAGACCTTCACTAGAAGAGGCGTATCTAACACAAAGAGATGAGAAATGGTATTTTAATTTCTTTGTTCTCTTTGTTTCTTTCAGATGCCAAACGCGTTGAGTGAGGTGGGAGTTTCTGACTTTTCTGGAGAGTCATGGTGACTTTCGGGGAGAGCTTCGCGTAACATAATGACTTTGTGATCATGAGCGATCAACTTGTCATTAGAAGCTTCCATTCATTTTTTAAAAATTTTTCGTTTGCAACGTGAGATTTCCAGGAGAGATCTTGAAAAATGTGTGCGGGTACTGTACAGGAAGATGCAGTAAAGATCATAACGTGGATCTGAGCATGTACTGGTCGGTCAATAATGTTTGCAAGTGTCCAAGAGAACGGTACTTTTTAAGTTTCAAGGGTGAGGAGGAAAGAAGGAACAGCGAAATCCGATTGTATTTCGATGAGGCTTTTGATGACAGAGTAAAAAATGCCAACTTTACTGTAGAAAAAGCAATGGATGCGCTATGACTTTAAGGATGGTGCAAGCTATCTCTTTAGTACTAATTAAACCAAATGAAAAGGCTTCCTTTTCCATCAATAAAGATTCATTGGATGACACACTTCTAATCTTTTCTGCATGTGTCATGCGAATGTTGAGACTTGTGAAATACCAAAAGAAAAACCATATTTTCCTTCAATGCCAGTTTGCATCCTCACTTTACATTCCCCCAACTCACAGCAAACTTTTTACTCATCAAATCACCATTTCCTTTCCAAAATCTCCCTACCACTTTCCTGTATACATCTTTCTACCTAAAAGCCCTCGTTCACCAACTCCCGAAGGAGCTGCGGTAGCCACCGCCGCTGCCCGCCGCCAAGCCAACCTCCGCCGCTCTCTTAGTAGACCGCCTCCCGCCCCATCTCCTTCGTGTGTCTCATGTTCGCCCTCTTCTCTTCTCTTCTCTGTGCCGTCTCTATCTCACGGGACATTTTGAAGGTTTGGTCTCTTCCAGACGAAGGCAACTTGGTACTTTCCTCGATCCAGATACAAAGAAATAGAGGATGCAAAGTGGTAAAACTACAAACTGTGAGGAGGGTCTTCGGAGTAGTAGCGAATCTTAGTATAAGTGCGCCAAAGATAGAGATTAAAGTTCAATTTCAAAAGCCAATAAGAAAAATCATCAGCAAAACGTCCTAAACAAAGCAAAACTCTTCTGTCACTACAGCGAATCAACTATACAACCAATAAATAAATCAAGAACAATACACGAGGTAAAATATACTATCCAATATCGTCTAGAAACACCATATCATCACTTGCACTTTGTAGTCACGGCACGAGTGGCTAAATTCACGCTCAATGAACAATCCATCACGCCACTCTTCTTCCTCTTCATCACCTTCAGTAACTCGACTTTGCCTCTCACCTTTGCGTCGCCCCTCAACATCAGGACCCCCGAGTTCATGTCCCCCCCAAGGCTCGCCGTGCTCGTGAGCCGGCCCGAGGTCACGTCGACCGTCACGTTGAACTTCGCGGTGTCCCTGGCCTTGGCACGACCCTTCACAATAGCGACATCTCCGACCACCGTGCCGTTGTACGCGAGGCTCATCGTGCCGTTCCCGTACTTGAAGTTGCCGAAGTTGGTGTTTTTAACGGTGACTTGCGCGGTGAGCCTCATGTTGAAGGAAGGAGAAGAAGTGTCGTTGCTGGTGCTGAAGCTGTCGACTGTCACCACGCCGAGGCGCACTTTGGGGCTGCGCACGCGCATCACGGTGAAGGCGAGGATCAAGATGATGGCGACTTGGAAGATCACAAAGGCCACCACGTTGGCGAAGCATTTCGCGTTGTTTCGGTTACCCTTCATCGCCGCAATATGAACGGTGATGTAATGTGAGAAACAAGGAGAGGAGGGTTGAAGAAGAACACGTCGAGCGTGGATGTGTTTACGTTTTGGGAGCGTGAAGTGAGAATGAGTTCGTACGTATACATCAAATGAACGGGCACACGCGAATATATAGAGGCAAATTCATGGAGGTGTGGACAAGTAAACATGGCCTTTCTTTGACCAATTTCATGGAGAAACAGGAAGCTTCCGCTGGGCGTTTACTGGGCAATTCACTGGGTCAATGGAACAAGACTCGATAAAAACACGTCTTAGAGAGACCCCTTTCTTCACGCGCAGCACATTAGCGACAACAATGAACTTCCTTAATTAACTATCAGAACATTATTTATTTGATAGATTAAAGAGGACCCCAACTTAGATCCGAGAATGTTCTTTCGAGAAAAAGAGTGCTCTCATTTGACATACATGCATCGTGAGGTCTGGCGAACGACACTCAGGAATGAATCCCTCTTATTTCTTAGGGGGCATTTGGCAAGTTGCCAAATAGTAAAAATTTCTGTTCTTTTATCCCCATAATCAGTTTAGGAACAGAAATCCGTTTGTTAAATTTTTTGTGCCCGGGCACAAAGTTGCAAAAAATTGTTCCTAGAATCAGTTTTAGAACATAATCAAAAAGCAAAAAAAAATAGCTTCTTGATTCTGGAACAATTTTTCCATTTCTGATTCTTCTTGGTTTTCTTCTTCCTTTTTTATTTGTTCTTCATCTTCTTCTCGGTCTGCCACCGGCCCGCCGCCGACGACCGGCCACCGGCCCGCCGCCAGCGACCGTCCACTGGCCAGGGCCGGCGATGGCGGCCCTTGCCGCCCCCGGCAACAGCAAGGTCGGCCCTCGCCGCCCCCCAAAATTGGGCGAGGTTGAGCCTCGCCCAGCCAAGGTGAAGCCAACCTCGCCGTCGCGACCGGTGAGGGCGGCGGCGAGGACCGCGACGCCCTCGCCTGCCCTGACCTGTGGCCGGTCGCCGGCGCCGGCGACCGGCCATGGCCAAGGAAATGAAGGAAAAAAAAAATATTAAAAAATTCAAAATATTATTACTAGAAAGAAATTTTGTGTAGTTACCAAACACATTTATGTTCTTTTTCTATTCTAAAAATAGAAATTTTGGGCAGTTACCAAACGCCTTCAAATGCTTAGAAATTGTTCCCAAGCACAGAATAAAAAAGAATCATTTCTGAGCAGAATCAGTTCCCGGGTACAGAATTGTTGTCATACGCACCCTTAGTGTTATGATATACTTCAATAGTCTAAAATCGACCAACACAAAAGGACATAGTAAGTAACGTGACAAGTAGTAAGTGGTCCTTGAATTAATAAACCATTCAAACACCTGAATTAGCATTCCGTATCACCTATTGAATCAACTAAACACAAATTAAATTTGATATGCATTATCGTTTCCTCACTAAGGTTCAATGACAAGCTGCAAGACTGGCGATCCTCACTTCCATTGACCTTCCTAATCGGTAATCACTCTCGGGGAGAAAATTTAGTCATCTTTTTCGGACAACCACCGAGGGATGCATTCGAGCTGATACGCTAAGATTTCATTTCTACATTGAAATATCTACAGCGTCTGTGTCCTCTCATAGATTCTTTTATAAGCAAAAACGCATATGGTAGATTTGTCTCCTGGCAAGGAATTATTTCTCCAACAGTAAACCGATACATACCTTCGTTTTCAGCTGCGTGTTGGTGGGAAGAAGCCGCTGAGGCCCCCCTGGCGGCGTGTTTGTGCCGGCTGGGGTGCACGGTGGACCATTTCGCTACTTCCCTCCTTGATGACTTATTTATGAAAACAGAAAGATCGTTCCATTGCATTTCACAACTGAATATTAGAAAGTCTGCCTCGTGCTGACATGAAAAGCGAACTAATTTTTATACAATTCACGGACGACAAACGGCAAAAAACATAGGAACTCCAAATAGTCTTTACCACGTTCACGTGAAAATACAGACTCCTCACTGCCAAAGACAACAAGCAAAATGCAAACAGAGGACACGACCAATATGCATCACTAGCGTTCATAGATCCACTACCAAAGAAGCAACATAGTTGGAAAGAGAAGGTATTTGCGACCAATAGACATGATGTGACCATTTTGAATGAAGGACGATGTTCTTGTACAGCAAATTGACGAGCATGATGCAGGTGATCCACCACAGCTGACTTAGTATTCCCATTTCCTCAGCTCCATACCATCGGGAGGGCTACCTTCGACCTTCTTTGCGCCCACTTCCTTCCAGTTTGTAGAGAGGACTGTCCCGTTAGACTCGACCTGCATAATGAATCGATATTAAGCAAAAATATTGCAGTTTTCATGGAACACCTAAAACACAGGATTAAATACTATGGAGCTCGACAATAAGAAGCGACGACACTTATCGTCTGCTTAACCAACACCGTTTCAAAATGCAGATTAAGGAAAATGCACCTACTAAGACGAGCATAATCGAGGAGCTAACATGCAGAAAGTAAGAGATCTCGAGTCTCTAGACAAATTACGAGCATGAGAGAAAATGGCAGGATTTGGTAAAGGATAAAGTTTCAGATCAGACTAAGAGAGAGAAGCTCCTGAAGAAATGGAGGTTAAGAAATATTACTAGATGTCCCCAAACAGACCATTGAGGGTGACAAATCAATTGAAATGTAGAAATAGAATGTACTGATTTGTAGAACTTCTGAGATGCAGCAGAGAAGTAATGCTCTTACAAATGATTTTGTCATAGCTCTTCTCGCGTCTTCATCTGCATTCTGGAATATGTCTCGGAAAAGCTTGTTCAAAGCTGCATCACCGTCAAGCTTCTCATCCTTTTCCTAAAATTTATGCAATTATGCAGTTAGACGTTGGATAAAGCAAACAATGAATAAAATCGCCATGGACATTCAGAAATCATTAGCAATGTCTGGTACCTCCTGCTTGACTTGGGCTTCCAGCTTGTCCCAGTCTGCAGCTCTATTTTTCGAAGATGGATATGCAGGTTTGTTTGGTCCAGCTGCAAAAATATGGAAAATAACTGATTAACTAGCCAGAGAAGTAGACAGTTTTTCTCATTCTACAGAAACATGGGACACCAGTAAAATTTGGGTCATCTAATAAATTAAGAAAGGCACCTACCAGATGGCACAATGACTTTCTGCGCAACTGTAGCTTCTTTGCTATATTCAAGAGACTTCCATTGGATTGCTTCAGCTTTTGCAAGACGGATCTCAATTTTCGTTGATAATATTTGGTATCTACACTCTTCAGGTATTACCTGATTTGAATCACATAAAGAGTCAAACATTAGTAACAGTGAAGTAGGAGCCAAATGTAGGCAAGTCAAAGCTTTCTTTTTCACACTAGAAAGACCAGTAAAAAAAGAAAAATAGAATTCATTTCCATATGGAGACTGAACAAAGTGGAGTTGGGTTCAGAAGAGAAATCTGATGCAAATATTCCTGAGGATATCCTCAAACGAAAGATCAAAATACGCACTTGCAAAAGCTTTGCAAAAGGGCACCTAACCAACAAAACCAAAAGCAAGTGCTATAACAAGTGCTATCATCAGAGAAGCCCAAACCGGAGTAAATGAGCTGCATCCAATTAGAAACCGGTAGAAGCTCTTCCAATTACCTTGCCAAACAATCTAGATTGAAAGTAATAAGCGTCTTCACCGGGCACATTGATTCTCGTGCTTAGCTGCAGGATAAATATATTCCCTCATGTCATCTATATAGGGGTAAAATGAAAAACACTTCTGCATCCAGTAAAAGAAATTATTTGGGTGATGAAACATACAATCTGTTCACCAAACTCAACAAGTACATCCTCTGGTGCAACACCCTTCGCAAATATTGTCACAACAACTTCATCTGGTTTCTGGTAAAATTCATGTCTGTTGAACAATGAATTGTCCGGTCATGCGAGTGAAAAAGTACTATCTGGAAAGTGAACTATGAAAAGCTACACTAAAAAATTGACAACCTTACTAATATAATGTAAATTGCTACACGATGAGGAGGAACAAGTACTTATAGACAACAACAAGAAGACCGCATTTGCAAGGAGAAAAGCTTCAGACCAACTCCAATTTATAGTATAAGTTTACTAGTTATCCAAGTTTGAAAGATAGCTGCTCATAATCTCGAATTACTTATTTTCAAGGTCTCAATAAAAGCAACTAACTTGATTCTTTGTCATGTCCACATGCAAGCTTCGAATCCGCACATCAATTACCAAAAACTTTGGAAAATATCTCCACTTTCAACTAACAAAGAGAAACTTCACAATCGGCCATGTGGCCACTTAATAATCATGGTGCAAAGCCAGGTTTTATCTAGACAGCATAAGTAATATTGCAAGAACCTGAATTTGGGCTTGACTGGTTCAACTGCATTAACCTGCTGTACCATGCTGTCCTCATCCTCCATTTCTTCATCTGCTTCAGCATTTTGATCAGATGGCAGGGCAGTGACAGAGGAAGGCGGGGCACCAACATGTGCCTTCTCATCACTTACATCCTCTGTGGAAGCACCACAAAATCAATATTCAAGAAAACAAACGTAATTCAGCTAACAAGTTAGCTTGCATCTATGACAACTCTTGGACAATAAATATTACGCAACAAGCAGCACAGAGGAAAATCTTCACGAAATCCTCAAAAACATACAAGTTTCTATTTTCAGAATACAGTGAAAACTATCTCCAGTACAATTCCATAATTCAAGTCTGCAATAATTCAGTAAAGATTTAAGCCCTCACAAGGTCAGTGTGCTTACTTCATGATTAAATAAAAGCAAGAAACTCATAATGAAACACTGAAGACAGAGAAGATCACAATCAGTTTTTTTTTTTTTTCTGAAAGCCATATTAGAGACAACCAACAAGCAGAGAAACCTTATCTTGATTACTAAGGGGCTGTAATGAGTGCAAACCTGCAATGAACTTCTCACATTCTTCAATTAGCTTGGTGAATCTCGAAGCATCTTGCGACAGAGAAGTACCTATTTCGAGAGCTGCCTTGGCAGTATGATATTCTTCAAGTTTCATACAGGCGGAACTGGAAAACAAAAAGAAAAAATAAAACATTTGGGGACTCGAGTTAATACTCCATGGAAGTACTTCATCAAAAGAGAATCTGTATATACACACTCAGAACTGTTCAACGAGTGCCTCCAGAGCAATATCTAGCGATAGAAGCAAATCCAAGATCAGCGAATGCAAACTAGCTAACACATTACGCGCAATAAATAGTGGATCAATAACAACACCACAATTGGAATAAGTTCGGATCAAGCATACATTCTAGCCATCGTTAAAGCTACATAAAAAACAAGCAGACCACCTAAAACGCATCATCAAACAATCAACTCCACGAACTTCAGGAAGGAGAAAAGGAAATCATAAAACTTTCCGACTAAATAGACCGAGTAAAAGAGACAGAATTCAAGCTCAGCCAGGCGAAGCTTACTCACCCTTTTCGCAGGTATGCCTTGGCCAAAGAAGGATCCAATTCGATCGCCTTATTTGCATCGGAAACGGCCTCTGATCAAACAAAATAAAACAGCACAAACGAAAATCAGAAGCACGTCACCCAGGGGCATTGCACAAGAACCTCTCCATCAAGAAAACAGCAAAACACTTCGCGTTCAAAAACGGTGATAAAAGATCCAAAGACAGATTCGCAGTGTTTCCACCAAAGCTTAAATATTTTCTAGGGTCCCAAAGTCACAATGCTAGCAAAGATCGCCTCCACGAAGCGGACCCAATACTTCTTTTCTTCACCCTTTTCTGGGTTTAACGTATGGGATGACGATAGGAAAGCAGGGAAAACTCAAACTGCTTTTCCCGGAAAAAAACACAGAGATAGTTCCAATCCGACGCCATGATCACGAAAAGCACGCACCGCAAACGGGACAGGCGAAACAGAACTACTCAACGAGACACCCTCGCCAACATCACGCACGCAAGCGAGCGTCCTTTCGTTCTAACCCACGCACGGGCACACGCGCGTTCGAACAGAGCCCCAAGATCAAAAAGGGGATCGAAGCCTCTCCCCACCCCACCCCACCTGTGAACTTGCCGAGCTTGATGTGGGCCTGGGCGCGGTCGGCGTACAGATCGGCGCTCCCGGGGCTGGAGTAAATGGCCCGGGAGTACAAGTCAACCGACGACTCGAAGTCGTCGTCCAGGAAGGCCGTCTTCGCCATGTCCGCCGGGTCGCCGGTCTTCGCCATCGCTGCGCCGGTCGCGGGTGTGGGGGGTGGGTGGTGGTGGGTGGTCTCCTCCGGTCCCCGGGTGGGTCGTCGCGGGGTCAACGCGGGGTGTTGGAAGAGGGAGGGAGGGAGGAGGAAGAGACTGAGTGGTGAAGGGCGAAAGTGGAAAAGAAAAGAGGAGAGCGCTTTGTATTAATAATTGAGAGCGTGGGGAAGAGGAGGAGGAGGTATGGGAGGGGAAAGCAAAAGGAGGGGGGGCACCAATTCTAGACGCTTCTGCGCTTCTGGGTGTGAGAGAAAAAGGGTGGGAAAGAAGAAAGAAAACGAAAGGAATCTTCTTCGCCATGGACGGGAGGGACTGCTGGTTTGGGCCTCTGGTTTCTGGGCCGTGATTGACCTTGACTTCCGCCATTGTTGCTGTTCTCTGTGTGTGCTCGTGTGCTTTCGTACGTTAGGAAACAAAAGGACGTATTTAAGGTAAAGGTAGGGAGGTGCCACACTTGCCCGGGGCTTTGCTGGTAAAGGGATTGAGCGGCGAGTCTCGAGAGAGTATCGGGTCTGAAGATCGATTTCCGGTGAGCACCGCGTACGTATGTACATAGAAAAGAGAGGAGCGAGACCAAAAAAAAAAATATTGCTTAAGGTAAGTTCATCCCCGTATTGCCGCGGGCTGAATACGGAAAAGCTTGTTCGTATGTAAATTTTTTTTTGTTGTCTGGGTTCTTTCGTAATTTGAAACGCCAGATTTTGATGGCACAATTAATGTAGGCCGCCCGATGAAGATCGAACGGGAAGCAACTTTATGAATGGTTGGTTTAAACTGGCGTCTTAATCGAAAGAATCGTGGATTGAAACTTTAGGTATTGAGAAGGAACTCTACTGAACAAAATTGGGAAAGAAAATATCGATTACTCATGTGCGAAAATACTTTACTTTTCCGATTCGAAAAAAGGGTATCCTGTTATCCGTATAATTATAACAAATAAAAGAGGATCACTTCCTCTTGATAGATCGCAATCCCCCTTTTTTTAATCTCGAAACTACGCTCAATTAGCTATTTTACGGATAATCCATCGATGACGGATTCAGGAATTTCTGTATTAGCTATCGCGTATTTTAATTTTAAAATTTGATCTTACAAGAAAACGTTCAAACCTTGAACAGTTTGTACAAGTGAAGTATGTTTGCGTATCCGTAATTGATGAATTTCTCTACAATTTTGTTTAGTTGCTTTCCTCGTCAAAAAGTAAGTTCCGACGACGCCGCGTATTGAGTAACCACCGGTTCCGTTCTATCTGATCGGATGGCTTACATCGTTCCGGTAAGATCTGGCGGTCCAAATTACATATAAACATGCCGCCGCAGTCCCGGCCGCGGCGGCATACGATGATAAAACAATCTCACCTAATGTAGTTTCGTCTCGTAATGTACAAACGCTAACACGAAATAGAAAAGGCCATAGTCAAAAGTCAACCACAGGCCCAAACCAGGCCCAGCCTCCATCCAAGGTGGAGGAGGAGGAGGAGGAGAAGATTAAGAAGCTTCCACGTTAAAGAAGATATTGCAGTAAAAGATTGTCACTTCGAAATTAAGAGGCTCCATCTCGAGTCTCGTCTGAGTCTTGAAATCACTGGAATGTAAAACTTATAGAGGGTACTACTGCTCTATGGAGAAGACAGAGACACGTAGATAATTGGGGATGCAAGGCGTGCGGATACCGTCATGTTAAAATAAGGAATGCATCCGTGAAACTCGTTATCCCTGTAATGTAAACAGAGAGTCACGGAGGCCCTCATGAGAGAGAAAGCTCCATTAATTTGGTGAAGTTACCTCTTAATCGAACACCAAGGATCCGAGGTAGTTGAGAAGAAGATTAGAAAGCTTCCGCGTTAAAGAAGATATTGTAGTAAAAGTTACTTGCACAAACGATGCAATTTTTTTGAGGATCTAGTCATCGCCGGTTGTCCTCCGTAACTGGGTTATAAATATTACACGATGTTTCCGGGCTCGACATTGTAGATTCGATCACAGGTCTACTCACTTTCACGTCTACAATGTCCAACATGGGGATGAAGTCGAATGTTAGTTTAGGCGAGATCAGAGTCCAAGTTGTTGTCCGTCAAATTTCACCGAATACCATAATAGGTGTTTCGTGAAATTTATGTAGCTGAGTATGGTAGGGTAAAGCCGAATCGCGCAACTCGAACAAGACGGGAATCTACTTTTCTCTATAAGATCCGACAAACTCGTCTTGAAATGTGGTCGATTTTGTATATACTCAAACCATGCTAACTAATTTATTCCCATTTTGCTCCGAATGAGTAAACCAATTTGCTCAAATTAGGATGGCAGTTTTGGAATAAAGAAAAATAATCACGGATATGCTAATTCATGATGTTTGAGAAACTTCATGACATGTATTGGATTTTATTTCATTCTAAAAAGGGCAATCGAATGTATAAATTTCTATACTTTATTCCCATTACATGTAAAGGAGCATGTCCTTTCCTTGTTTCGATAAGCAAAGAATAAGCCAAAACTAAAAAGTAAATCCTTTACTTCAAAGCAGATGAAAGCATTCCTCAAGTGACAAGTCTATGCTTCGCTTGTTGTGAAGTCATCGCGGCACGAGTACAGCAATGGCGGCCACGGAAAACCAATTCTTATTACACTAAAGAGTCCATTTGTTCGAAAGGAAATTGTTGCTGGAAAATTGTTTTCTAATTTTGTGCTGTTTGAATTACGAAAAACTAATCGATATATGAAAAATGTTTTCCATCGGCTAAAAACAACAAACTAAAGAAGTCATTTTCCAGGAAAATGACATAATTTTACGATGTTATGTTGAAATCTGAAAAAGACTCGGAAAATATTTTCTACCGTTTGATATGGAAAATCTGATTTGATTTTCCTCCGTGCACTACTTTTAATAGTTTTTTTTTAAATTGATTTTTTAATTATTTTTATTTTAATTTTTTCTTTGGCGGTGAGTAGGCCGGAGGCTGGCGAGTGGCGGCGGGTGGTGGCGGCCTTCGGCCAGCGGCAAGTGGGCAGTAATGGGCGGCAAAGGTAAACAATAAAAGAGAGTTGTGATTTCTGTTTCTGTTCCACAAATAGAAAAGTAAAAAATTTTAACTTTTCATTTCTGTTTCAAATCAATTTATGGGCCAACATTTGTCCAAAAAATAAAAAATATTTTACCAAACGGAATTTTATTCCAAACTCGTTCTTGAGAACAATAAAAAAAAAATAAAAAAATAGGGAAGTAGAATATATATCATTCGCGCCCCAAAATCTCAAGAATCATAGAGAAATGCGGCGAACCGGACACAATGGCTCGGTCCGGGAGAAAATCGAGCGGCGCCCGAACCGGTCGGTTTGCTGATGGAATCAATACGACCGGACCGGCCCGATGATCACCGGCGGTCGAAGCTCTCGTCGTTCGGTAAGATGAAGATCGCCGCTCGATCTCTCCGAACAAGCACTTCCATGTAGCTCTCTCTCTCTCTCTCTCTCTCTCTCTCTCTCTCTCTGTAAGGCCATGAAGTGCCGATCCGTGGCCTGCGTATGGCCGGCGACGCCGCCTTCTCTCCACCGCGTCACCGCCGCCGCCGCCCTTGACCAGCCCCCCACGCTCTACACCGGCGGAGCCGATGGCTCCATCGTTTGGTGGAACATCTCCGGCTCCGAGGCCAATCCGGTGAGTCGACTCGCTTCTCCTTCGTTCGGCTCTCGTTTTGATGATCCGTATGCTTCCCAATACGTCCCGGTCGGTGACATTGTCTCCGAACGAAGCGTGGGGAAAAAAGCTGTCGGACTTGTCTCTCCGTTGCTTTGTCGTGAATGTCGAAAATGTCGTCTTCCGGGTGTTCTGCCGCCTGTGATCTCTCTGTTCGAAGTTTCCTTGCATGTGCTGTTAATGTGTTTATCGTAGTGATGTTGTCCTAAAGAAAATCTGCTAGTTATGTATCTTCCGTTGATTTCGTTCCGTTTGGATTGCAGTGTCCCCTGCCCCGGCTAAGTAGGATCAAAGCAAATGATATATCTCCATGTGCTTTAATGTGCAGGAGATTAAGCCAGTAGCTATGTTGTGTGGCCATGCTGCATCAATAGCTGATCTAGCTATTTGTTATCCTTCTGCGGTGCTCAGAGATGGAAAGACGGAGAGTTCAAGTTGTGGGGCTCTGTTAAGCGCGTGTAAAGATGGTGTTATGTGTGTCTGGAGCAGGGGCAGTGGACACTGCAGACGGCGGAGACAGCTGCCGCCGTGGGCGGGGAGTCCGTCCAATCTGTGTACATTACCATCTAATCGGAGATATGTATGTGTCGGTTGTTCGTTTGTCGATGCTAGCCATTGGGTTGAGCATCGGGCTGTTGGATCCACACAGGAAGTTGAGCTTTCATTGGACTCGGAGGCTCATCATAAGAGACCTCCCAAGTGCACTGTAGTTATTGTAGATACTTATACCCTTACCATTGTACAGACAATTTTTCATGGAAATTTATCAACTGGGTTGCCGAGGTATATGACTTTATTTTCATCTTCCGAGCATGGGGAGAAGTATTCTGCAGTCCTTGTTAATTCATATGGTGGGATGCAACAGGTTCCAATATCAAAAGACTCTCATCCAGATGGGGAGAGTAGGGGTGGCTTGCCCAGAAATGGTTCTGAGCCTAAGATAATTGATTGTACAAATGGTTTTATGGAGGATGGGGTAGTATTGTCATGTGCCACCACAGGAAACATTATTGCTCTTCTGTTATCTAATCGCTGCATCTTCAGGGTAGTGGACACTGCTGTTACTATTGGAGAGGTGCCTCTGACAGGTGATCTTTGTCCTCAGGGCATTAATGGTCAATTGCATCGTGCTGTGGGATGCATGTTTCTGGAAAATGGTTACCATGAGATTCTGCCTGGGCAATCCGACAGAATGTGCACAGTCAATTTTATTATTTGGAACGTCGAAGGTTCTGCAACTCTGTATCTTGTTTCATATTCAGATAACTTATTTAATTGTAGGCCTCTCTCTTCAGTAACTGCTGCTTCTCATCCAGAGCGGTTAAGATTATCAGTTTGTTTCATTCAATTGAAAAATTATCTTCTCCGCATTGAGTCAGTTTGCTTTGGTTTAAAAGAACTTTTCCAGTGGAAACCCCACATCACAATTTGGTCACTGTCAAGGAATCATGACCGTTCAAAGCACTTTCAACAGTGCGAATTTGTTGGGGAAGGTGTTTCTTGTTTTGACTTGATTTCAGAATCTTCTCTACTCCATGAAACCAAGGATTGCGATGGTCTGGAGCAGGGTGATACACTTAATTCCGAATATGCAAATGGTCGACATGCAGGAGGCAATAGCCCTTCACTTAATGATCGTATTGTATCTTCTTCCATGGTTGTTTCTGGTAATTCATGTGCACCTTATGCTGTTGTTTATGGCTATTGCAATGGCGACATTGAGATTGTACAATTTGATTTGGTTCATGTGCCGGGTTATCATAGTGAAAGTTCTTCTCTCGAAGTAAATTCAGATGTATGTAGGAGACATTTCAGAGGGCACACGAGTGCTGTACTTTGTTTGGCAGCTCACCAGATGGCAGGCAATGCAAAAGGATTGGATTTCTGTAAGGTCTTGGTGTCTGGAAGCAAAGACTGCACCGTTCGAATATGGGATCTTGACAATGGCAATCTCATCACTGTAATGCACCATCATGTGGCTCCTGTTCGCCAAATTATTCTCCCTCCTAATAAGACTGAACATCCCTGGTGTGATTGCTTTCTCACTGTTGGGGAGGATGCATGTGTGGCACTTGCTTCACTTGAAACTCTAAGGGTTGAGAGAATTTTTCCTGGACATCCCTGTTATCCTGATAGGGTTGTTTGGGATGGTGTAAGAGGTTATGTTGCATGTCTTTGCCGAAACTATTTAGGAACATCTGATACTAGTGATGTGTTATACATATGGGACATAAAGAGTGGAGCCAGAGAGCGGATCCTCCGGGGAGTGGCTTCTCATTCGATGTTTGATCATTTTTGTAAGGGCAATAGCATGAAGTCAGTCTCTGGATCTGTGAGGGATGGAAGTACTTCTGTTTCCTCCCTGCTTCTTCCCATTGCTGAGGATATTGGTTTTTCTAAACTTCATATGGAAAGCTCAGAAAAGGGATTTTCTTCCTCTGGTGCAATGGCAACGTCAATTAAAAGGATTGAGTCCTTCAGTCATAAAGCCCTCATTAGCAAGGAGAGCTCTACTGAATCCTTCCAGGCCAGCTCATCTATTGTCCAAAGCATCAAGCACTCCATTAAGTGCTCTTGTCCATTCCCTGGGGTAGCAACTCTTTGTTTTGATCTCACTTCACTGATGCTTCTTCCTCAGGGTGACGAGTTATGTGGAAGTCAAATTAGGAAAGCTGACTCTCCTTTGAAGAGAAACAATGTTGCTGGGTTTGCTGATAATGGAGCTGGTCCAAACACATCAAACAGTCCCGTGGAGTCCAACTGCATTAGGTCGCTTGAAGAGAGCATTGTACGGTTTAGCTTGTCGGTTTTGCATTCATGGGGGGTAGACAGTGGGCTTGATCAATTGCTAATTACCGACATGAAGTTGATAAGACCTGAGAACTTCATTATTGCACCAGGTTTGCCTGGGGATAAAGGGTCCTTTACAGTGACTTTTCCTGGTACAAGTGCTGTCCTTGAGGTATTTTGATGAACTGTATTTACCGCCGGGACATTTTTTCTCATTTGCACTTTTATACTTTTTCTGAGACACTGAATAAACACATTTCAGCTATGGAAATTGTCCTCCGAGTTTTGTGCAATGAGATCATTGACCATGGTATCCCTCGCCCAACGCATGGTTAGCCTGTGCCATTCCTGTTCAGTTGCCAGCAGGTATTGTTTATTAAGCACTCCCACCTAATAGTACGTCCTGAGTTTGGCTACATTTCAATACCAACATTTTATTTGAATGACTGAAATTCGTGATTTTTTTGGGTTTAAGCATTCAAAAATTCAAGCTTTTGGCTTCAATTGGAGTTTGCTTGATTTGTTCTTACTAGTCCGGTCAATTGATCAACGCATTTCTTTGAAACTTTTTGTCATTGGAGTGCTCTCTGGAGCTTTACTTTAGTCTGATACCTAAGTTCATGTCAGTTGTTTTCATCAGATTAGATGAATTTAACGGTATTTAACTACCTGGTTTGCAAGGCAAAAAGATAGCTTCTAGTTATACTGATAAATTTTGTATTGAAAGTCCATTTATTAATAATAAAAGTGGAAGCACTGTGTAAGATCCATAGACTGTCTATAAAGATTGATCTAAACTAGTGTCTATTGTCATAGTTTGTCTACAAAGATTGATCTACTGTGATAGTTGATTTTTCTCAGTTATTCAAATCAATAAGGACTTACCGGTGGATGCACCGTCATATTTGTAGCATGGGAATACGGTTTCTCGAACGGATCTTTAAAGTTGGGTGCAATGATGCAGATACTAATAGCAAATAAATTTTGTTAATCTACTTTTCAACGATTTCTCATAATGTCTTCAGTATTTTTCTTGAAGCATCTGGCATCAAATCATCTTATTTCTTGAATTTTCCATTCTGTTCACTTTCCATCTTAATTGTACTTTATTTAGAATTGAACGGTCTACCTCTTTTTTAATCTGCAGTACCCTGGCGGCGTTCTATACTCGGAACTTTGCAGAGAAAGTCCCAGAGACTAAGCCACCTTCCCTCCAGGTTAGACTCTGTTCCACTGTTACTATTATGTTTTACGTCTATCTATAGCAATTTCTGGGATTCCTTAATGCCCTTTTTTGTATCTTTTCCAGCAGTCCAGCGTAAATGAACTCCGGACTTGTATAAGAACATTTAACTGAGGCAAGATTGCATAAACTCACTACATCTTTTGTTTTTCACTACCAGCCTCCTACTAGTTTGGGATATTTTTTGGGGTTCTGTCTACGGGAAAAGGGGGAGGGGGGTGGGTTTGGAGTGAGGATGAGAATATCCGTAATTACGTGTAAATTCCTTTTTTTATAATATCTAGAAAAAATCTGTGTTGTGTTTTTTCAACTTGTATCTTGTGCCCTGTAGGTGAAGTCTTTTTTTGGATAAGTAAATACAAGAAGACAAGGTGAGTTTACCTTGTGGTAGAAGCCCACACAAGCACTCATATAAACAATGTCGTTTGTCTGGTTATATCTTCTCGGAGTAGAATCTAAGAGTAATGCTAGGTATACTAAAGCAGCTCCATTAGTTAAATATATTAAGTAATGCGGTAGACTGCAAATTTTTTAAAAGAAGTGGTTCATATTCGAAATGCAATAAAATTCTACATCACTTAGTACACCAATCTAGTAAACCATCTTAGTATATCTTTCATTATCCAATCTAATCGATGAATACACATATAAACTATGTCAATTTGGGAAATGACATTGATAAATCTGGAAAGAAGCTGCTACTTACACTTGTACTTGATGTCAAATCTCCAGTGACAGAAATTCAATGTTTTTCTGCTTGTATAATGCATTTATCCCTGAGAAGGATTGAAGCTGCTCGGTTACTATTGTGTCTGTTAAATATAGAATTAAACTTTCAATGAGTAAGCTCACAAAGTTTGAAGATATACCTAGAGGCTTTAAGTGAGAGTGACTTATCAATAATTTATGCTCCTGCTCAGTATGTGGTCTTGCCAAACATTAGCCTTTTAAAAGGCTTCTGGAACTCTCCCCTAAGTGTTACATACCACAAGTGTTTGTCCATCATATTGACATTCTCTCTGTTTATGCAGCTGTTGGTAAGTTTCTGGCAAGATGATAGTGAACATGTAAGGATGGCTGCACGATCTTTGTTCCATTGTGCTGCTTCACGGGCAATTCCTCTCCCTTTGTCTAGTCAAGAGGTGACTAATCACATAAAGTTTGTGAGTTCTATGGCTGGGAAAAATGAAGATGAACATGAAAATCCAGAGGAAAAGACAGTATCTGATAGAGCAGATATTGAAGAACAGGAAACACAAGAGATTTTGCAGGTTGAGGAATCCAATATTATGATATGGCTAGAATCTTATGAAGTGCAGGATTGGATTTCATGTGTTGGAGGAACAGGGCAAGATGCAATGACATCTCATATTATCGTTGCAGCTGCATTAGCCGTTTGGTACCCCAGCCTTGTAAAACCAAGTCTGGCCACGCTGGTTGTTCATCATCTAGTGAAATTGGTCATGGCTATGAATGAAAAATACAGTTCCACTGCCGCAGAGCTGTTGGCTGAAGGTATGGCTGACATATGGAAGGTATGCATTGGATCTGAAATCCCCCGTTTGATTGGAGATATCTTTTTCCAAATTGAGTGTGTAAGCAGTACATCTGCGAGTCCAGCCATACCTAGTAAAATTCGGGAGACTTTGATTGAGATTCTTCTTCCAAGTCTTGCAATGGCTGACATTCATGGGTTTCTTAATGCCATAGAAAGCCAAATCTGGTCTACTGCATCTGATTCACCAGTTCACTTGGTATCCCTTACTACACTTATTAGAGTTGTGCGTGGAGCTCCCAAGAATCTGGCTCAATTCCTTGATAAGGTTAGTAAAATGTTCCTTCAATTCTTTAAGAATTCCAAGTGGAGTTGGATCATGTATATACATGTCGGCAGACTAGTATCTTGTGTCAGCATTTTTTTTCTAATTTCCAATGTTTTTCCTCTATCCTCTGGGGTGTTTGAACTATTACATAGTTAGCCATTCTATACAGGAAACTGATTTAGTATTCTGGTTTTATAAGTAAGTCCCATTTTGCAGTTTACTTAATAACTTTTCTGCTTGTGCTTATGTAAGTCCAAAAATAGTTGTGCATTTCAGCCACATTTGTTGAGTGTGCACTCTCGCAATCCTTTTTCCTTCTTTCCTCCAAGTGCCCAGTTGCTTCTTCTATATGCGTTTGCCTTCTGGTCTTTTCAGTGGTATTCCTCATTTTTGGGTTCAAACCATGTGATTCTCTTCTTTGCTTCTCAGTTAGTATATACTAGTGTATGAACTGTTCCATGCTCTTGTGAATGTGCTTGTCCTCGACTTGATGAAAATATGAAATCCTGTTCTTGGAATGCCTTTATGTGTCTAAGCATTGTGCTGAATTGTAGGCAATTAACTTTATTATACAAACCATGGACCCTGGCAACTCAATCATGCGGAAAACTTGCCTTCAGACTTCAATGACAACTTTGAAGGAAGTTGTTCGCGTATTTCCCATGGTAGCACTGAATGACAATTTGACCAGATTAGCTGTTGGTGATGCGATTGGAGAGATTAGCAATGCTAGCATTCGTGTGTATGACATGCAAAGGTATGATGCAACATAATCATGGGAGTTAAGTTGAAGGTTTTTTTTTTTTTAATACAATTGCAATTACTAGATATCCTGAGAAAAGTTTTTGTTAATGGGTGAGAACAAGGAGTAACAGTATATTAGAGAATTTGTCTGTCAATAATGACATCTCTTTAGCAAATGAAGGTATAGGATGCCATTTTTCTCTTGGACTTTGTAACCATCCATATGCGATCTTCACTCTCCATGTTCATGATTGAATGAACTTTTCCTCTGAATAATCTATTTTTGTAATGTGCCAGTGATCATTAGATCATTATGGCTGACAATGGTGGTTCCCAATCAGGTGTTATTTCTTTCTGTAGCAATCTTAATTTAATGAACCAATTAAGACTGATGCTTTTCGATAGTGTTACTTACATCAGTTAGCTGCTCGTCTCTACTATAAAAGTTCACAAAACATGCATGGAAGTACAAAGCAATATGTAAAGATGCCTCTGAAATACTCTTAATGTTAATGGTTATTCACTGATTAGAATATTCATCATTTCTCTAAGCCCACTCTTTGTCTAAACAGTGTGATGAAATTCAAGGTTCTGGATGCAAGTGCACCTCTTGGACTACCGAGTTTTCTTGCAGGATCTTCTGGGACGGCACTAACGACTGTGATTTCAGCATTGAGTTTTTCTCCGGATGGAGAGGTAATTTAATTTAACATTTGAACCTTCATCTGTCAACAGGCTTAAGTATTCTTCATTCATGTCCTCCTCCTAGGCGACCTGAATGGGATTTCATTCTTATTCAACCATGTCTCTCGAGCTTTCAATTGCAGGGTTTAGTTGCTTTCTCTGAGCATGGGTTGATGATAAGATGGTGGTCATTAGGATCAGTTTGGTGGGAGAAACTCAGCCGTAACTATGTTCCCGTCCATTGCACCAAATTGATTTTCGTTCCTCCTTGGGAAGGATTTTCACCTAAAACTGCTCAGAGAAGTGTGATGGCGAGCATACTGGGACCTGGTGGGCAATCCAGTCCACAGGTAATGTTTTAATTTCATGGAGATATGATCTCGTGCTGTCTTTTGGCCTTGCTTACATGCTTTCACTTTTGCTGCTGCTTGTAGTGTGTCCTGATCATGGTAGCATGTCGGTACTAGTGGCCTGGGCATGAATTGTATGGGTTTGGATGCATATGTATTAGTATTTTCTATAAAAAGGTGGATTTCTTAGTGAAAAGCTTTCTTTGTCTTGAAATGAACAAAGTTAAAATGATATAGAAATCTAAAGGAGCGGCCAACTACTATTTGAAGTTCTAGGCTTCATTTATTATAATCTAATTGGTAAGTTCTTGAACAAAAGAAAACTCTATTTGACACTTGTTTTAGCAAATTGCACTCTTCGGCTAATATTAATTTTCTTTTTGTTTTAAGGATTCTCTCTTTAATTGACTCCACTAATAACAAGACTCTAGTTTGTAAGGTTAAGAATTCTCTCTCCGTGTCTCTCATTAATGACCCATTAGTAGTCGATTCATTCGATTTTTTCTTAACGGGGAAGTTTGAGGGGATACCCCGAAATTGACAGACTTTGTACAACTTCGTTAAATGGCGATGGTTAGCATAGTTTTCATAGATATATACTTATCGATACGAGAGGAAGCTGACCTATACGAGACATGGGAGTGATTTTCATGTTAAACGAGGTGAATTGGAGTGTTTTTCATGTTAAACTAGATATTGACTTGTATGAGATTTTTGAAGGTACTGTATAGTGGTTTAGTTCCGCACAAGATGTAAAAGGAAATGTCAAGTTTAACAGCCTGAAACTATTTTCCAGTTTACACAGATTGCAAATGGGGTAAATGTAATTTATAAAGAAAGGTCTCACAAATTTTGGGTCATTTAATTTTACCATTAAATTCAAATATATGTTATTATAACCGTCACTTAAGGACAATGTTACTATTACCATATTTATAGTATAATTCGTCTCCACTCTGTATTCTGCCCAAACTTTAAATGAAGTACGGTGTATCCTGCTCTCATGGCTTAGACTCAGCTTTTAAATACACCTGCTCTCATGGCTTAGACTCAGCTTTTAAGTCCGAGCACGTAGCAATCTAGCTAGTACAAGTGGCAGGTCACATGTTACGCATGTGGCATGGCTTTTGTCCCAACATATGGATCTTGGAACCATGTGGCAACCACATTTTGTAGAGGGTTAGCTTATGTCATGTTGTGTCAAATGCACCTATACAATCACATCAGTTCATTATTAGGATTCCATTCAACATAAAGTTGTTACTTAGATTTGTAAAGAATAGCAGTAACAGCTACAAATGTACAATTTATGGATTGTTCATCCATTCTGACATGAAACTTCTAATGTAGGAAAAGTTAGATTGTGCAGGCGAGGACAGTTTGAACATTTTGATTCATAATCTCGACCTCTCCTATCGCTTAGAGTGGGCCGGTGAGAGAAAAGTTCTTCTCACAAGGCATGGCCATGAGCTGGGAACATTTCCATTATGAAATTGCTATTACGTCATATCATGCCCAAGCTTGTGCAGTCAAGAAGCCTGCTCGTGCTGCTTTTGATGAAAATGGAATCTGAATGGTTCTAGCATCGTCATCAGGCAGTGTCTTGATGGGTTTCGTAGATCAGGTGTAGAGAACTTCCCCTCCATTGGTATGGCATCATCAGTTAAATGCTCAAGGTTTTGTCGAAGTTGGGCAGAACAGGATCTCTGTACAGGTGGTCAACGGTGATTATACATCCATTATATTTTTTCAGGCATATGAAAGTAAGGTTGAGGAGGAACAATATCAACTACTTTCTTTTGAGCTGGGGACTTGGCAGGCCGATAGATGCCATTGATAAAAAAAGTACCTGACTATAAGCACGTCTTGTACAAATTTTGTTTCTTTTCTTATGCATTGTTGTCTTCTCTACTTCAGTATAATTGCTGTTGTAATGGCACATCACTGACTTGATAATGTTTACAGGTATTTTGTGAGACTAATTTAGTCTTTTGCAAGTGTAAATTTCAGTTTCTTTTCGATTTCAATCTTCAACTTTGATGGTGTACCTGCTCTGACATTCTGCAATATCTACAAATGTTGTACTACGAGCTGAGATAATAACATTCTTTTTATAAACCCACCAGTTGAGCGGTATTACATTGCCTGGGAAGGCAGATTGGCTTGCAAGCTTATTCTGTTCTTTACCAACAATTACCAAGGTTTTTTCCTGCGTCTTGTCAGTCTTCATCTTAGGACATTTCGATCCACACAATTTCTCCCCAGATTCTGCTAATTCGTCGTCCTCTGGATACCAACGAACCGGAACTAGAAACCGGAGAGCAGTTGCAGTTGCCGGAGAAGAGGAGTCAAGGTCTCCATCAATTTTTCGCAAGGATGGTTGTGAATACCTTCGTACGTCGTCACGACGATGCTCGAGTCTGTCGAGAGTCGCTGGATTTGCTTCTTCACAGTGCATGTGTGGTGCGTACAACGGTAGTAGCTCCTTGTTCATGTCGAGTAAAAGAAAAACTGTGAGAAGCTTGAGTCGAAAGCGTGGCTAACTTCAGACTTCAACAACCCATAATTCCAAAATGGTTTGGGATAATCTTGATGGACTATGCAGTTATTGATCCTAAAAGTGCTACGAATCACGTACAAAAGATGGAATGGGACCTGTTTATAACTCACCTCCTTGGATGACTACCATTAATGCTTTTGGGTCACCAGCTTGGAGCATGACAAACATCATTTACATTGTTCTAGTTGACATAGTTACTACTAGAAGTATCATGTTGAGGCTCTTTGGAAACTCAATGAATCGAGCAGAACTTTTCAAATAGGGCGAGGTCAGTCTTACCTTGGATGGCCACTGTTCTTCACAGCTTTCTGGCCGTACTTGCGCCACCTGTATCCATCGTCGAGAATGTCATCGGCACTCTTCGTGTGGAACGCAATCCTCGGCGGGATCGCTTTCCTGGTTTTGCCGACTTTCTTGTTACAGCTTCTACCTCCATTCTTCGCTTCCTCACCTCCATTATTATCACCTCTAATGCTTGAGGATGCATTTGTTGGTGAAGGTTGGTGATCCGCAAATTTATTGGAGCCAGACAAGAGGCTAAACCAGTCCATGTCTATGGCGAATTGTTGAGGGTCTAATGTTTGCGGCATTAGCGCAGGAGGGTGTAATAACGGGGTCGACGGAAGCAAGTGTGGATTGATGCATGGGAACATATATTCAGCCAGAGCTAGCAGTGGCTGTGGAGGCGGCGGCAGCGGCGTCGGTGGGACTCTTCCATCCATACGGCTCCACTAAGAAATGGGAAGGCAAAGGAAGATTTTGATGAGCAGACGATGGACTTGAGGTGCTGGGATGCAAGTAAAAATAGGTTGGAACGAACTCTCCCCATTCATGCAACCCTCTGCGAGCTTTTAGGGTGGCCCCAATTACCTTAGATCCACGAAAGAGACAAGTTGCATTCAACTACTTCAACTGTCCCGCTTAGCTATTGGTAAGACACTTGGACAAAGCACTCTCTTCCTCACACTCCTGAGAATATTCTAAGCTCCTCCTAACGAAAGATACAACGATAAGTTACAACTTACAAGCACGTCTCGTCTCTGGGTCTTGAGATGTCTTGAAGTACAGAGGCTTACGTTTTGTTAAACGACTGATCCGATAAGATTAATCTACGAGATAGACAGATGTAATGCGGTTGTGGTGGTTTAGAATAAGGGTGTCGAATTCCAAGTATCAAGAGCGACTGACCTCCATCCCGCCTGGATAATCTTCCGCACGTGGACAGTGCCATTTCTGTGGGGGTTAGAAAAAGGATATGGGACGGACATTTGATGGTGGAGACGAAATGATAACACGCATGGGGTCAATTGACTATATAATTTATCTTCATGCACAAGATCTATTAAGTTACACGTGTGAGTTGTGTTAAAAAGTCCCACATTGAGTGAAAATGGGTCCAACTGAATATGTTGACAGTTTCGAGCTTGTGCTTTCTCTTGGCGATCTCCTCGGGCACAAGATAGGTATCAAAGCTGTTGTTTGATTGGTGACCCCCTCTTTTCGGATGGTGGGCCTTGTGGGGTAGCAATGCGGTCCTGATGGTTGGTGCAGACCGATGCATGAATTAATGGAAGCAGATTTAACACTGAGCTCACATATGAGGGGGAGAGTGAATGTATATTTAAGTGGATATGTTGACAGGCTAGTACTTGGGCTCCCTATTGACGATCATCCCAAGTGATAGGATGACTTCTGCGGTCTCCAACAAGACATGCAAATAAAATTATTTTGAAAGTTTTTGTCGCGCTCAACGATTATTTGCCACATCATTTGTAAAACTTATTTCATATAAAATTACCACATCTTACCTACTCGAGTTAGGAACAGTAATAAGTTTTTATCTCGTCTCTTGAGCTATATTTTCGCGCAGTCGCTTTCGACTTCCGTAGTTTTAACTTGTTCTCTCGGATAAGGAAACTCGATTGGATGCTCATCATTAGTTGTTCTGCCACACCTTGGGCCATGTTTTTGACATAAAAGAGTAACCACGGACCGATACGAATGAAATGAGAGATAGGGACGCAAGTTATTCCATAGTAAAACCACGTGAATGGAAGCGAGATTGTGTGTAGGGGGAAACATGGTCCTCAACTTCCACCAGAATTAAATTAATGGTGTGAGTACAACGGTCATATGACAAAAAGTTCATCATTCTAAGCTAATTGTCAAGAGAAGCTACCTGCTAAGTTACAAGCTGGCGTGTACCAAAAAACCAAGCTAGGGCTACTTACTAATCACGTCTCTCTCTCTCTCTCTCTCTCTCTCTCTCTCTCTCTCTCTCTCTCTCTCTCTCTCAATATCTGTAGTTTCGAGGGTGCCCTTTAAAACTGGAAAAGAAATTACAAAAGATTGTGTGGTCATGTACGATTCCTTTAAGCCATGAGAGTCGAGTGTTTCATAATGCACAGACAAAGTTCATAGTTTAGAGCACAAATGTGTATACCTAAACAAATCCTTAAAAAAGGCTCCATACTGACCTCAAGATCATTGAAATATAAAACTTCTAGAGGATATTTCCTCTTCCTGGAGAAGATAAAGATACAAGGAAATTGGGGGTGTAAGACGTGCGGATACTAACACGTTAAAATAAGAAACGCATTCGTGGAGCTCACCCCAAAAGATGGGGACATGCCGTGGAGGCTCCTGTAGGAGTTTGGACTCCATTCCTTTGATGGGGTTACCTTTTAAACGAACACTAAGGACCCAAGAGAAACCCCTTGTTAAGAAAATTCATAGTTTATAGTACAAACGTGGAGATCTGGATATCTAAAAGCCCATGATATAACCTGTAAGTCGTATAAACTGATTAAGTTTGGGCTTTACCTATGCATGCAACCTTGATCGAGAGCACTTTGCTCGTAACTTACAGAATTTGAATGTGTGACATCTAATCCTTGAACTAAATTTCCTAACGCCCCAACTAGTTACACCGACTTGTGATTGACAACATCATGTTTTTTGTTAGTGCATCCCATTTTTGTGTAAGCATTTCATATATGTGAGACTAACTTGTATGACATTGATGAAAGCAAGAGAAAGTTACAAATAATTTAGTTTAAACATCGCAAGTTGTCTATATTGATTTCACGCAGAAACATTATCCAATGTCACAGCGGCTTAAACTCATCCTCGTCCTCTCCGCACTTAAGTCTCTACAACTAATACAACTCTACAAGTTTAGAAAGCTTGAAAGACATGAACTCATCCTCAATGGCGAGAAGTGACCCGCACGCTGTACCTTGTTGAATCGACTACACAAGAGGGGGAGACCACCTAATGAGCTAGTTACTAGGTTTGCTTCGATTGATCATGTCTCTTCAAGTGATTGAATTTTGCAAATGTGGTTCGTCGTATGAGAGAGAACGCATATAAACAAAATCTGCCAGGATTTTCCAGAATAAGAATGTGTATCACCCTAGGTCTGTCAAATGGGTGAGTTAGGTCGAAAAAAATAGTCTGACCCAAATCGAACTATTTAACCCATTTTGACTCATTTCCATGCAATATAAATTTAGTGACCATATCCGACCCAACTCATACCTAACTCATATTGTATATTTAACTCAATATATAAAATTTATACCCAAATTGAGGTGAGAACATGGAGTAAGCGATCGTGAGATCAAATGAAGGCGGGAGAAAGTGAAAAGAGGGTCATAAATATGAGTTGGGTCTTAGTAAGTTGTGAACCCATTTAACATCTATATTATTTTGAACTTCACCATTCTAAACCTATTTATATTTGATGAATATAACTAGTCCACATAATAACCCTACCCATTAAATATGAATTAAGAAATATATTTATTACCCATTTTGAGAGGTCCACCACCCTCACCAAGAACAAAAACTCTCTCTTCCTCTTTCTTCTTCTTCTACTTCGCTATCCGATTTCCCCCATTGCTTATGATCTCTCCTTTTACAGAGGTTTTCTGCAATTTACCTTTGCGTACTGTAACGCTTTGTTTACCCGTGAGTGGATGGAGCAGGGAGAACATTGTAGTAGACACTATTGCTTGTCAAATTCTTCTCCAATTGGTCCAAAGAAACAAACCAAGTGTTTGGTGTGAAATTGACATCTATTATATTTTTATGAAATTTTCCTGTAGAAAATCCGTATATTTCGCCCTCTTAAAACTTAGATCTTTCCCCAATCTTTTTGGTCACCCACCTCTTGTTAAAACTCTACATGCATCACTAGGATTTGGAAAGTTTTGTAAGTCACACAAAAAACGCTAATCCTATAAGAGGTTAAATTGCTTTGTCTGAGGTTTCACGGACTTCGGCATCCCCCAAACGTAAAACACCAAGAGGGTATTCCCTCATTCTGAGGAAGACAAATATATAGAGGGGAATTGGGTGGGGGGATGCGAGCACCAATACATTAAAATAAGAAATGCAGTTCTGTCAGCTCGCCAAATAAAAATTCCTAAACAGACGGGGAGGTCCCATAGATTAAGGCTGTTGATACTAAAAGATAAATAAAAGGTGGTAAATGAAAAAAAGAAAGAGTTTCTTTTTGATTGAGATAGAGAAGTTTATGACTTTATAAAAATCAAATACCCATCGGTAGCTAACTCAAATAAGAGCTGGCAATGCAAACCTATTTGGTGACTATCATAAAGTCGGTAATCACTCTAATTGAGATCAGCCTAATTTAAAATAGTTGGTACATTTGAACAGTTGGAAAGCAAGTCAAATAAAAGTGGCAATTCAATAAAAAAGTTGGTAAATATAACAGAAAACAAATTCACATTAGTAAGCAAGTCAAATGAGAATTGGTTCTTCAAAACTAATTGGTAGCTTAATTGAAGAAAAGTTAGTAAGACACATAATTATATATTGACTTGGTAAATTTTAGAGGTTGATAAGAAATGTAAATAAAAGTTAGCAAATAATAGGACAAGGGTTTTGTTCGTATGAAATAAGGGAAGTTGTTATGTCAAAAACAATTCAAATAGACATTAGTAAAATAATAATTTGTAGGGAAAATTTCAAATAAGGACTCGAAGTGCTCTCATTTTCTCAAATAAAGACCTGAAGTGAATCTTGTGTCAAATAAGGATCTGAAGTACCATCATTTTCTTAAATAAGAGCCTGAAGTGAACCTTGTCTCAAATAAGGGTCTGAAGTGGTCATCTAAGTCTCAAAAAAGAGCCTAACCTCACTAGAGTTAAGGATATTTTCGTCTTTTAATTTTTTTCGTTCTTTTTTTCCATAAAAAACAAACTTAAAAAAAATTAAATTAAAAAAAAAACAGGGGGAGGACTTGCGGCCCTCCTCTGCCTTTGGTCGCCGCTCCATCACCGGTGGGGTAGCGGCCATGGCTGGCGACCCTCGCTGACCAAAGGCGAGGGCCTAGTGGCCCTCATCGAAACCGGGAGGGTAAGGTGACCCTCTCCTCGGTTTGGGCGAGCGTCGCTGGCCTCGCATAGGTCTGGGAGAGGGTCGCCCGACCCTCCTGGTTCTGGCGAGGGCCACCAGGCCCTCGCCTCTGGTCGGTGAGGGTCGCCAGCACCTCAGCCGGTCATGGTCGCCGCCCCACCGACGATGGGGCGGTGGCCACAAAGGGCTGGCGGCCATAGGCGAGGAAGGGCTGCAAGCTCTTCCCCTGTTTTTTTCTTCTTTTTTTTTTTAAATATATTTTTTAATTTAAATTTATGTTAAAATTATTTTTGGACGAAAATGCCCTTAATCGGTTGGAAAATTTAGCAAGCCGGTGAGCCGACAAGGTGAGGCCTTTATTTGAAACTGTTATAACCACTTCAAGCCTTTATTTGAGAAAAAGATA